TTAATTAAGGTGTCCACTTACATATTCGGTTAATAATTTTTATTTGTTTAAACAAAATTACTTTGTTACAATATAATATTCTAATACCAAAAAAAGTACTTACGCTGCGTGAAAATATCTTTTGTGATGTAACTCTTTCAAAAGTACATAAAAATGGTTGCCAGCAGGGGTGAAAACGTAGATTTAGTAAATTCACCTTGTGCGCCACCTAGGAACCAAATCTAGAACCCGACATTCGAAATTTTTGCTCTGTTACAATCGTACCCTGTTACAATTGACCCCACTCTCCCCTACATATCAATGGTCTGTCCAGACATTTTGTGAAAGGTCCGTTTTTGTAAAATTGTGAAAAAATGACTCGTCATTTGTGAATATGAAATAGGCGTTTAGTCACATTCTTTCAACCAGGGTCCTGCTTTTGTGAATGTGTGCAAATAGGGACCTGTTATTGCAAAAAAAAAATTTTTTTAAAAGGAGTTTTTAAATTGTAAATAGATACAAGATTATACTCAACTCTGTAAAATTATAATAACAAAAATTAAATTTTCAAAAATAAACAGCAATTGCTGCTACTGAATTAGAGATGCAACATTCAAATATTTGGTGTTTAGCCTATACTGCTGAACGCAGAATATTCATTTCGGATGTATAATGGAAGAAGCGTCTGCCGAAGACAAAAATTTGATTTGTTTACATCCATCTTTCTTTTTTCAGCTAAGGGAAGGTATTATTCGATTAGCAAAACAATAATGAAGATAAACAAATTTGTGAAGAGTCCATTTTTATGAAAAGGTATTTTGTGTTCTTCTAAACATTCCCCTGCATATATAACATCAAAAAGTTAAAAAAGAAAAATCTTATTGCGTCCCCAAAGTATGTCGATATAACACTGAATTTATTGTGTACCCAAAATAGTGGTTTTAACTGTAATTGTTGTAGAAAAGGGACACTTACCCATGCACTTTGGAACTGGATGACTCCAGGTCCCATCTTGCTGACATGTGGTGGTGGCAGACTCTCCCACAAATGTCATGTTTTCCAGACAACTGAAATAGATGACAGTCGCAAATCTCGTACTCGTACCCTTCACGTATCCGTTGTGGAGAATACCAGGACTGCCGCATTTAATCTCTGGAAGAAAAGAAAAGGTTTCTCAACACCCCATAAAATAGTGCAATAGATGTGTTAATTTGGTTGTCATTTACAGTAATTGTATGAAATTTCGTTGGCTAGCTCAAATATTTAAGAAAACATTTATATTGAAAAAAAAAAACTAATTTATTGTCCTTCCTTTCTTTTTTCTTTTTTTTTTTTTTTGCAATAGCTTCAACACTAGAAAGACTGAAACTTAGTATATACCTATAGTGCCCAAAAGCAGTCAAAATGACTACATTGTGAAAGGATAAATGTGTAAAGAAATGTGTTTAAATTCATTTTTATATTATTTACAGTTATATAACAAGTTAATAGTAAATATTTACAATAAAAAAATTGACTACAGTTGGAAAGAAAATATTAATGGATGCATTATTATTTGTAAATTTTTTTACAAATGAAAAAATTTTTTAAATGATTTCCTTTCGGCAACCTAGTGTTAAAAAGAGCCCTGATGCCTCAGAGCGTTAGCCTTCTAATGAGGTGCACCGGGTTCGAATCCCAGCTATAGTTGCCCAACCATTACGAATTCCACATCCGGCTTACACCGATCACAGTGCTGACGTGAAATATCCTCAGTGGTATCAGGATCATGGGTTAGAGTCCCCTTGACATCAGGTTAACCGTGAGAGGTTCTCGTGGTTTTCCTCTCCATGTAACGCAAATGCGTGTTAGTTCCATCAAAAATCCTCCACGAAGGCAAATTTCTCCCAATACTAGATCCAGGAGTTTCCTTGTATTCTGGATTGGGTTCAAAATGACAAAGCTACAGAGTTGAACATTAGTGGAACATTAGTTGTAGGGTCGGCTGTTCAACAGTTGTTATAAAATAAAAATATAACTTCAAATAGATTCAATAAAAATAAACAAAATTTAACTGAACAATTTTCAATTAATAACGAAATTATAATTTTAAGATTTGAAGGGAAAAAAACGTTACAAATTGCGCAGTATTGTGTTGTATTATTGTATTGTATTACGGACGACTGTTATAAAGTATTATTATTTGTTATTAAATTTTATCTTATGACACAAAATGAAATTTGTGGAAAATCCTTTGTCCTTTAAAGCTTTCTTTTAAGAAATACATAAACTACTCAGAAAATTGCTAGAAACGTTCTTAATTTTCAAGATATTAAAATTCGACTTTTTTTAATTACTTACCAAATATGATTCGCTACAAAATTATGAATTTTGTTTTGAACTTTTTTCCGTGCATGCACAATGAAAGAATTAATTTAAATCAATGATTCCTAGAAGAGAGAAGGCTTCAGCACAAACAAGACATTTGATTCTTTACTAATGACATCTTTAGCATTTTCCTCCAATGCACAGCTTAGTAGCCCAAACTGAGTGACATCAGTCGTATTTTTCCTCCACTGCGCAGTTTATGTTCGTTACATCGAACTGCTAAATCAACCCGTGCTAAGGCCTTCTCTATTCTATGAGGTGTTGTTTAAAAGCGGGAATATATCGAGATGAAATTGGATTAAATGAGCCGAATTATCTTCTTTGAAATGGTTATTAAAAAAAATACTTTATTCTTGAGTTTAATTATTTTATTTGTAACTGAAAAGTTTGAGGAGAAACAAAGATGCAATTATTTGTAAATTCGTATCGCTATTGTAGTTTATTTGAACACTATACTCGATGGAAAATATCGATACATTTTCAAATTTTGCTATTTCTCTTATCATTGACATTTTACTCAAATGGTTTCGTTAAAATGACTGAAATATTAAATAAATGATCGATTATGGGTCAAATACTTAGTGAAAACTTTCAAAAATCATGACAGGTTGAATCGAAAGAAAAAAAAAGTTAATTCTATAAAATTCTCAAACCAATATATCGACGGAACCCTACAGATTCTATAAAACCCCTTTTAGGTGCACCCGTGGAAGGATCTCGGGGTCATTAGGGGGAGCGTGAAATTATTCAGGCTTATCATTATATATGTATTTTCATTATTTTATATTTTTATTCTGCTTGAGCTGGGAATTCAGTACTCCAGAGAGATATATTACTTCCAAATTCTTCTTTTTTTCTCGAAATGATTGAACTGTTTCTTTTTATCAGAAAATATAGCTCTCTAAAATCGGGATTTTCTTCTTAGAAACAAGCAACAGACATTGTACTAAGTTTTTCCAATTTCATAATTCTCGATAAATCAGGGTTCAAGAGTGGCGAGCTTTATCGTATGCGCGCTGAATTTTACACAAGTCACCTGCAACTCATCCAAAATAAACTAAAAATGTGTTTTTTATCAGACTATTCCCCCAACTAACATTTTTAAAACTAATTCAAATTATCTGAACACAATTTCTAAAACAAAATGATGTCTACATTCCTTTAAATATATGGAATATTTTTTTCCCTTTTTCTACGGAATGAAGGGAATAATATTACTTATACTATGCTTATGAATAAAATATGATTTTGAATATGCTAAGTTTCCGATGGCATCGGAAATAAAGCATCGTCAAATTTTATGCAAACATTTGTCGGGTGGGGTGGGGGTAATTCCATTACAAATACTTAATAAAAATGCATCGCTAAAGAAATTCCATTCCACTAAGAGAAGAAGGAAAGAAAAGAAACTAAAATACATGATCTCAAAATATTATCAAAGTTAGGAATTCAAAAATATCAGTTCCGTTTGATGTTCAAATCGAAGATAAAAAATACAAAATTTGATGTAGAAGCTACTTTTTAGTTATATGTTTTAAAACTATATATTGGTTATCTATTATTTATTGAAATGTTTTGCATTCAATACGAAATAAATATATGATAGAAACCTTCAGAGTTTAAACAGTAAGTACGTATAAAGAAGAAAAAAAATAATTACCTCCCCGTATTAAAAAATAGTAATAGTGAAGCCGCTATTTTGGGTGTTAAACTCACATTTTGTTTCGCTGCGATAAAATCTATAAGATTTAAACAATTGAAGAAAAAAAATGTACAGTGGAATGAAACAAAATAATATTCGATAATTTTCACAAGAATAGTTATTTATTAAATTTGCTGTAAAAAAAATAACATGATTTAAGAAATTAAACGTGCTGAAAGGGACATTTTTGTTTAGTAACTTAAACGATTTTTTTTTCCTTTTTGAAACTCCAATTTTCTTGAAAGTAATTAAAATTTTGATATTCCTATACTTTTTTTTCATTTAATTAACCGACTTCCCTTACCATTTCTTTTGAAAAAATATGCGAAAAATCAACATATTTTTTTTTATTTCCTTAAAAAATACAAGGAACTACAACAAAACATAATACACAAGTTCTAAGTTGAAATTTACGGATATCTATTATCTTTACCTACGGACCCTGCATATCACGGATTTCTCTGATTCTTCGCTTTTTTCTCAACCTAAAAGTAATTGAGTCTTATTGTGTCGTTATAAGCCTTAACAATTGCTCAAACACATGTTAAAATAAACTTTTTTAATTTAACTGACGGCATGAAATACCGAATTATATCTATTGGAAAAAATTTGGTCCTAAATAAATGCAAGATTTTTCTCTATATTGTTATGCAGAAAAGCAAGACAGGAAAATGTCCCATATATATGGAGATAGAGAAGGTTTCGGGATCAAAATTTTTCCCAAACATCTGCATTTAAATTGCTAAAGAAGCAGAACTTGTGGTTTCTCCATTTAGAAAAGAAAGACTTTCGAGAATAAACAGGAAGTTCTGTTGCTCGAATAGCGTACAAAAGGCTGGAACTGGTTATTTGCACTTGTGGGTAGGCTTAAAAATTTATTTCTTAAATCCAAAAAGGTTTATTTCGAGTTTGTGATTGCATTTTGTGAACCAAAAAGTTAATTTCGTCTACAACACGTTTGCTTTTCTATTACAAAATCCTGTCATTTTCTCCGTTAACACCTCATGCACACTGCCCAAAAATACGTGAATTTGATAGAAATTTCAATTTTTTCGATTCTAGGACTTACCTTATTAAACGAACTTTTTAAATAAAGTAATACACAATGATAAATATTTAGTAAAAGTTATTTTTGCATGGAATTATCTTTGGATAAAGGAATTTTATAATTATGTGTAAAAAAATTTCAGATCGTTTAAAATTTTCTCGGGTCACGGTGAAATACGCAAAATGTAGAATTAACACGAATGGGACCAAACTTCGGACACCCCTCATGGCCAAACTATTGGGACCCTATATTTCCCAGATTCCGGCTACCCCCTGTGTTTTTGGGGTCAGGTATCCAAATCGGTCAAAAATTAGGTTAGTTTATTTAATGAAAGTACGTCTTTTTGTCTGATTTCGTAACTTAAAATATCATCTGCACTCGTTAATTAGCGTAGTTAATTAATTAGTATATTTACCCTTTAAACCATTAAGAAGGAGTCCTAAAACGTGATGATCCGATCATTAGATCAAAAAGTTATTCAGGGTGGTCCGCTTTTTATTTTGCGCACTGTACTTACAGCTTACGCGCAATTCATTAAAACTTATGAATTCTTAATTTTCTTTGCCAATTTCTCCTTTCTTTGCCAATCTTTCTTCGTCCATTTATTATATTATTTTCCTCATTTTATCCTAAATTTGAATTTAATTTGTTCTGGCTTGCATTCCAAAACTTAGCTATCCGAAGAATTTGCGGAGTGATTATTTTTCTCAAAACAATGGGAGGGATACAATGATTTATAACGGCGTTAATGTTAAATGGTTTTCTAAGCGTCACGACGTTTTAAATGATATCACTCTTAACGACTCTCTTAACTGAAATTCTGAAACGACTCTATCCATAATCTTATAAACTGTCTGTAATTCACCCTGCTACTGCATGAAAGAAGGCTTTCCATAAAATGAGCATTTGGGGATAGTGTTGAGCAGAAGATTCTTTTATGAATGAAACGCGGTAATATTTTTTATAACATCTATCGCTAGCTCTTTTCTTTCGATAGCCCGACGAGCAGTTAAAGGTAGAACTGTTTCATACCGCGCACCCTCAGTTATCTCTCTCGATTCAATGAATCACCGACCCTGCTCGTTGAACTCAGCCTACTATGCTTTACAACGATGATCTACTGGTCACCGTGTCTGAGAATCAGTCCACTATAAGACGGTCACTTCCCCGAAAGGGCGGTCACTGAAAGATGGAACTATTCCATACACATTTTCGTGGGTTCGTTCACGTGTATCTATTAAACTTTTTTTTTAAAAAATGTGAATAAAGTGTTGTTGTAGTTCATTTACGTCGCACTAGAGCTGCACAATGGGCTATTGGCGACAGTCTGGGAAACATCCCTGAGGATGATCCGAAGACATGTTATCACAATTTCGATAATCTGCAGAGGGGATGGCACCACCGCTTCGGTAGCCCGACGACCTCCACGTGAAGTCGAGCACTTCACGGTAGACCAGTTTAACGAGGACTCATGCCCTCGGTCCCTACGCAGACTGATCCAAGTGGTCAACCATTCGGACACTGACAGCAGCCAGTGATGCTCGACTTCGGTGATCTGCCGTATCTTAACGATCAGTCCACTGCAGGTCCTTATGAGAGCCTCGTTAAATAGAAGTGCGACTGTAGTTCAAAAAGTGAAAGAGTTTTATGTATTAAAGTACTACTTCCGACGCATACTTATGCTTTACATTGCTCTCAAAGAAACTATCTTAACAGGTAAAATATATTTTCCGATGAATCTGATATGCTGAACTAAGAAATCAATCACGAGACTATCAGAGGACTAATAAACTTGCTAATAAAGCGGTTTCTGACTAACCATGGTTTACGATGTTTCTTTACTTTCTGAAGTTTTCAAGTTCCAGAATGTTACTCACACGATTTCCAATAATATACTTCATAATTTGAGATCAAATTTCATTTTTCAGTAATTTATGTAACTTGAACTATGAATTAACGCACTTCCTCTCAAATAAATGAATTTTCTTTTAATATTTCTACAAAAATTTTCTCACTTAAACTTTAAATATCATTGTATTTTAATTTCGAATCAACATTTTTTCGTACTGATTAGCAGAATAACTTGATTGAGTAAGTCATGCCACTTCTTCATTGGTTTTTTTAGCAAAGAAAACTTTACAGTAAAATTTAAAGAATTCTTACTAAAATTAAATTCTACATATAATAAGCATCTTCTTCATGAGAAAATAAAAAAGTTTAAACAACTGCGTGTCTATGCAATGCATAGTTGAATAACATTGAAAATTTTACTGTAAAAATATCTTAACCCCATAAAACTTACATCTGATTAATTATGAGACTAGGTCAATAAATTAAAAAACATTTATTTCTCCTCTTACGTCAAAATATTAATAGAGAAATGCACTGAAATTTATTCAAGTAAGGTTAAGTGCTAAAATTTCACGTTCGCTCTCTGAAAATACTAAAATAACACGGTAACATCTACTAATCACTATGTACGCAAAAGACAATAAGTCGGAACAATAATTAAAGGGTAAATTACTTAGTGTTGTAGTTCATTTCATTTACGTAGCACTAGAGCTGCACAATGGGCTATTGGCGACGGTCTGGGAAACATCCCTGAGGATGATCTGAAGTCACGCCATCACAATTTCGATAATCTGCAGAGGGGATGGCACCACCGCTTCGGTAGTCCGACTACCTGCACGCGAAGTCGAGCACTTTAAGGTAGACCAGTTTAACGAGGACTCATGCCCTCGGTCCCTACGCAGACTGATCTAAGTGGTCACCCACCCACACACTGACCACAGCCAGTGATGCTTGACTTCGGTGATCTGCTGGGATCCGTGTCTTGACGATCAGTCCACAGCGGGGTGATATATATATATATATATATCTCACAAAAAATATTACATCCTAATTGCGATCCTAATTATTATCCTAATACAGGATATTACATCCTAACACAGATCAAAACTTATAATTATTTAAAAAAATAAAAAAACCTCTCTCCTTTATTTTCCCATAAAAAATTTAAATCAAAATGGAATTTATTTTTGTTCAAATCCACAGCATTGTTTACTCATTAGTGCTTACCTTCGCAGTAGGGTTCCTCTCCTTCCCACTTCTTATTCGCTTCGCAGGTTCGAGTCACGGGACCGACTATCCTGTATCCATAAAGGCACTCGTATCGAGCCACTGACTTATAAGTGGAGGTAGTGTAATCCACTCTGCCATTTGTAACATCTATCGGTAGAGGGCACTGCACAGCTAAAGGAGGAGGACAGAGAGGAGNATTTTTTAATCAAAATGGAATTTATTTTTTTCAAATCCACAGCATTGTTTACTCATTCGTGCTTACCTTCGCAGTAGGGTTCCTCTCCTTCCCACTTCTTATTCGCTTCGCAGGTTCGAGTCACGGGACCGACTATCCTGTATCCATAAAGGCACTCGTATCGAGCCACTGACTTATAAGTGGAGGTAGTGTAATCCACTCTGCCATTTGTAACATCTATCGGTAGAGGGCACTGCACAGCTAAAGGAGGAGGACAGAGAGGAGATTGAACAAGAAATATAGGTGATGAATCAAAAGAAGAAAGGGTAATAATACTCACGACGACAAGAGGGTAAAAGTCCGCTCCATTCTCCTTTCGTCTCGCAGTATCTGTTGGCTCTGCCCACCAATTCATACCCTGCGTTGCAGTGGTAGGTCACTCTACTGGTAAATGTAAAAATCTCTCCTTCTCTCCAACCATTCTCTATCTCACCTGGGTGGTCGCATGACCTTGCTACGGGAGAATTTGTCAAACATCAAAACATAGGCACGGAATAAAATTAAATCATTTTTGCTTAAATAAAGCGTTCATTTTTACTTCATAAGGATGAGACTCTTAAAATAACTTTCAAATAATCTTAAACATAGCAGTTCTACCAAATAATAAACATCACACTCAAGTACAAACTGAAAAACATCGGTGGCGTAACTAGATCACTTAAGAAATATAACAATAACGAAGGCACAACTAGATCACTCATCACTTTGTAATTTATTATCGTTTTCAAATTCCAGATAAATAAATTATTTAGTGCATCGCTTTTAACATCGACCCGTCTAAGATACATTTTTCCACTCGAAGATTTATGTGGCCATATCTTAAAAAAATACTAATAAACAATGAAGCACTTTGTTTGTTAAATCATTTTTGTTGAAATAAAACGTCCATCTTTACTTCATAAGGATGAGACGGTTAAAACACGTACTAGAACTGATTAAAAACAAAACTGAAATATTAAAGCACGAACTAGAACATAATTAAATCACAACTCTGTTTTAAAAAACTACCAATACTAAAGTTAAAAACTTGACAACTTTTTAATAATCTCAAACGTATAACAGTTCTACCATATAATAAACATCATACTCAAGAACAAATCAAAACTAAAAAAAAACATCGGTGGCGTCACTAGATCACTTTAAAAATACAACAATAACGAAGGCACAACTGGATCACCCATCGCTTTGCAAATTATTACCGTTTTCAAATTCCAGATAAATAAATGATCTAGCTCTTTGTTTTCAACATCGACCCATCTAAGATGAATTTTTCCAGTCAAAGCACCCATATTTTAAAAAAAAAATACTAATAAACAATGGACTTTGTTTAGATAAACGTTGTTCACTGTAACAATTGAGCTGCGTCAAGAAGAGATGGATCTATTTTCTCTTGTCCGTTCTGCATTTGTTTCTTTGTTGTATTTGTGTGTGTTTTTTAATCATTTTATATTTAATTTACTTGTAGTTAGAAACACAGAATTTATAAATTTGGTTATGCCGGCCAGAGGGTCGAGTAGTTAGCGTGCCTGACTGCGAAGCCAATGGCTGAAGATTCGAATCCCGCTCAAGGCATGGATGTTTCTCTCTGTGTGTTGTTCTCTGATGTGTGAATGCGGCCCACCCTCCTGTGGCGTGAGTAATGTTGCTCGTCTCCGTGACTTAGGTTCACAGGTGCCTACTGGGTAACGTTAAATGAGTAACACTCCCGGCATCTTTCTGGGCGTAGAAGGTAAAAGTTCAGTGCTTGCATTGGGAAAAAAAATAATAAATTTGGTTATTCTATCAAATGTATGGCCAAGTCTTTACAGTGCGTGTCATTTTAAAAATCTCATCCATCCAAGAGGTCGTGCGTTCGTTAATAGTATTACTTTATTCAGATCGTACTAGACCTGGGTGACCGTCCTGGAAACATTCCTGGGGAAGATCCGAAGACATGCCCTCATCATTTTGATCCTCTGCCATACATTGGCAGATGGATCAACCTCTTTAAAGTGGAGCACTTAACAGTAGAACAGTCTAACTAGGACCGATACTGCACATCCCGGGTCCCTTCGCTGGCTCGTCAAAAAGATCACCCATCAGCTCACCGAGAATGATCTACTGGGAACCGTGTCTTACGATCAGTCCTTTGGAATTCGATGAATTTTGCAGTTATTTTTCTTATCTCGAGAATTGATCTCTATTTTATTGAGCGACGTTCTTGCTTACCTGGAGTAGCTGGATGCAGGATTTTTAATGTCTTTTTAAAGATTTGTTCAGTCTAATTTCATTCTAACTCTTTTCAATTTCGTCTGATATCGTTTTCTGCACTGTCTTATGTAGAATAGGGAGAAGAGCTCAAATGTTCCCTCTTTTTGAAGTGAAATGGAAGTAAATCGAGATCATTGGATTTCTGCTTGAAAGGCAAACATAGTATTGCTTACAACAACAAAAAACCATTTACGCTGAATTGGCTGAGATCAATCCCAAGATGATGGAACGAATAGTTCAGAAGTTATAAAGGTTTTACTTGAAAAAAGTACAATTTTGCACTTGTTCCTACTTACGCATCTGACAACAGTATCTGAAGAAGAAAGGCATTCTTTTCTATATTACATTAAATATAACAAATTATTTACATTAGATATAATTATATATAAAATAATTCCTTATAAACAAGCAATTTTCTTAAAAAGAAAAATCGCTCACTCTAATGAAATATTTCATCATTTGTGTGTGTGTATATATATATATATATGAACTACTGGATTAAGCATTTGAAGATAATATAGTCTAAAGTAGGATCTTCCGAAGGATTAAGTAGAGTCTTAATAAGGAATGATCTCTTCCTGAAAGAAGAGAGGGAGAGGGTGTAGCAGAAATGCAAATCACCCTCTTTTCTCCCTTTTGTTGTTATAAATGGGATCTGAAGAGGAGTATNTTAAGCATCTGAAGATAATATAGTCTAAAATAGGATCTTCCGAAGGATTAAGTAGAGTCTTAATAAGGAATGATCTCTTCCTGAAAGAAGAGAAAGAGGGGGAGGGTGTCGCAGAAATGCAAATCACCCTCTTTTCTCCCTTTTGTTGTTATAAATGGGATCTGAAGAGGAGTATTATTTATCCTCTAATGCAGCAGAAGATATTTAATTTATGGAGGTATTAAGAAGTCTCACTTAATGAGAATTAATTATGCAATTTTCATGTCACAGCGTTAATTTATTGAAATGAATTTTCGTAGGGGACTCTAATAAGATTATTTCAAGAAATGATGGATATTTGTAATAATGAGCGGCTTTTATTTGTAAAAGCACGTTAGGTCGAGATTTCCTTCAGTCACTGTAAAAGACCGAAATCAGGAGAAGGTCACCAGTGAATGCCGACAACCGTAGAGTCGCTTTGGTTAATGTCCGAAACATATGATACTGTTAAAAGCTATGAGCTGGATCATTTATTTTTCTGGAACTTGAAAACGATAATAAATTTCAAATCGAAGTTTTTAACGTTAGTATTGGAAGTTTTTTCAAACAGAGTAATGTTTTAATTATGTTCTAGTTCATGCTTTAATATTTCAGTCTAGTTTTTAATCAGTTCTAGTTCGTGTTTTAAGAGCTACATCTGAATCCATAGGTTATTCGATATTTTAATATGCGATTAGGTTTGATTAGGAAAACATATCTGTATTGAAAATATTGGACAGGTGTTCAATCCCCGTACTTTTTCAGATTAAAAATGATCACAGCAATTTAAACATTTTGCACGCGCAATTTTTTATTAAAATATCCTATTAGATTTTTGGTTACTTTAAAATGCTTTAAATACATTTTTTACACAAGTAATAGTGCAAAAAGGTAATTCCCTCAAGACTATTATTTTGCATCATTTTCAGTTTTACTCAGAGCTAATTATAAAAGTATACATAGTTTACATATTGTTTAAAATTGCTAATTACTACAAACTATTATTTATAGATAATTTTAAATTATTAAATTTTTAAGAAGTGAATACAATGACTTGGTGGTTAAAGAATATTGTGAAAATTTGAGTTCGATTCCCGTTGGAGGCTTTTCCCTGCTTGACTTGGAAATAAAAGCACAGTTCATACCGTTGTCTCTGAAAGAGCTGGTATTATGAAGTTATCTACCACTTTAAGTATGTTTTCATAAAAGGTTACGTCTCATGGGTAGTACACTCTAAAGTAAAAACATTTTTATTTGAAATCATAACCAGAAATGACAGAAATAAATAAATATATCATTCAATAAAGGGTGGAAAAATAAAGTATGGGTAAAAAATAAGTTCATTTAGCGCTGATTTGTTGATGAGAAACAAAAGGTGATAAGAATCATTTTTCAGTTCACTAATAACATACGCGAAAAAAAACTTGAGGGAAAAAATTATGCGTAGAGAAATATATAATCACGTAAATTTCCAAATAACGTCCCTAAAAGTTGACATTCCCAGTTTTTTTTTTGACCGAATCCATCAGCATTCTAAGGAAAGATGATGAGTTGATGTTCAGTAGGGGAGAGTGGGGTCAATTGTAACATTTTTTACTTAACTATTTCTAACTAACAAAAAATCCAATATATTATTAGTATTTATTGACAGACGTGTAAAGAAGACTATCCTCTACTAGAAGAAAAATAAATACCTGATTTTAAATATTATTATATTAGTTATTAACAATTTTTGACAGTCGTGCACTTGTTACAATTGTCCCCACTTACGGGGTCAATTGTAACAGTTCATAAATTCAACTAAAACATAGTTAATTATACATATTATCATAGTTGTGATATATTTTTTTATTGATCAAAATAGTAGTGATATTTTAGGAGTAAAAATAATAATGAGCAGAGACCTAAAG